CAGTAAATTACCATTTTAACTCTGATAGATCTCAAAAACCTATGATAGATAATCTAGCATTCGATCTTGAAAGGTGAGCAAAACCTCAAAATCAAAAGGCAAATCAACGGAGATAATCAAAAACCACAGAATTCTAGAAAGATGTATACCTTTGGAGGCTTCAAAGTTGAAGGCACAAAATCATTAGGGTTTATATCTGAATCACCAGAGCTTTGACTAATTTGCTTTTCAATACAACCCAAATCCAAGCAGCCCAAATCCATATCCTTCGATTATCTCAATAATGAATGAATCAAATGTGATAAAAATGAAAAAGAACCGTTAAGTATGAAGCGACGTGCGTGAAGCGACGTGCGTGAAGCGACGTGCGTGAAGAGAGGGGTTGGGAAGAAGGGGTGGAAAGAGGCAGAGGCGTTTGGCATCGATGACCTGATTGTCGTCGTCGGAGAAGCAGAGGCGGGCCTAGTCGCCGATGCCATTGTCAGAGAGAGGGAATGAAAAAGGAGGCAGGTCTGTGAGATGGAGAGATTGGCGAGATCGTTTGGGAGCAAGAACGATGCGTGGGAGGAGGAGGGGGAACGATGAAGCTGGAAGGAGAGGAGATGTGGGGAAGGATAATCCTGGAAAAATAAGCCTATGAACCATTAGGCAACCCATTAGATGCAAAATCRTTAAGAGGTAATTGTCACCATTAAGAGGTTCMWTTTTTTTTGCCAAACAGCCCCTGCCTCTTACCAATTAAGAGGCTCCCTCTTAATGTCATCATTAAGAGGCAAACAAACAGCCCCTAATATCACCATATCAATATCCTTATTCCTTTTGTACTTATTCATGAGTGAAACCAAAAAACAAGAGAAAAAAAACACTTGGGGATTGTGCTGTACCGGTAAGATCGAGAAGATTTAGTGAAAATCCTTGTGGCTATGGAGGTTCACCTACGATGATTCCAGACTATTCATTGTCACGTGGGGGATAAGTTTATGCATGTAAATTATTGGTTCGAAACTCACGATTACAAGAAAAGTGAAACCAAAAAACAATTTATTGATAGTTTTATTGAAATATACTAAATTTCTCTCGTTAGAAAAAATAATGAAAATGAAATCACTTCGTGAATCACATCTCTAAATCCAATATGGCAAAACAATCGTATCTCAAATTACTCTTCTTATTGCTACCCCTAATCTGATGTGGCCTATATTGCATATTCTTAAAAAGAATTTTATAAATAAATGTCACAGTCTCGTCTATGTCTTGCTATTACTGATAGAAGTTGCAATCCCAACAAAACATTCAATCTTGCTTGTACAAGAATCCTTATACGAATAATTATAGTCTCATGATGCCTCATCCCTACTGTATGAATAAACAACATCCCCGTAAATATCAAAATATGCAGTAATTTAAAAAAGGGTCTTCGTCAACTCTGGAACACTCTCATTGTATCAGTCCCACTGATAGGAATAGTAGATTGCAAATGCGTCCTAATAACATGAAAATACACTCAGATTTTGATTAAAAATATATTTAATGGTATTTATGGTTTTACATCAAATTTGTGTGGTAATGTTACCTTTAAGATTAGAATTATAGTTTGCAAAGTCTATGGGATCATGTCAGATTTTTAGAAAGCTTAAATAATAAATTTACGGTCAAATATCAATTTAATGTGTTATAGGACATTTAGGTATTTAATAAAGTTTAGGGACTTGGTTGTAAATTCTTTAAAGTTGATTTTAGGGTGAAACCAATAATTATTTATACTATATTATAAAACATTTGATAAAAATTCTTAAAAACAATTTTTTATGCAGGAAATACTGTATATTGATACATATTACTTAAAATTCAAGATTACAAGTAAATTATGTATAAATACAACTTATTAAAACTCTATGTTTGAATTCGTGTAATTAACTGCGGATAAACATAATTAAATAGAGGATAAATATTTCATTTTGAAATATAAAAAATCTAAAATATAATTAAGATAATTACCGAGTTCTAACAAAATAATTGATTATTATCTTTATAAAAAAGTTATATTATCAAAACAAATATAAATTACTTCGTTATTGAACCTAATTAAATTTATAATAAAAAGATTGAATTAAAAAATTACACAAAAAATAGGAATTTTAAATAGTTAATTTGATACCAATATCGATATATTTTTGTCAAATTTTTATGATATTTTTAATTTATATTTTATTCAAAAATAAAAACATCGTCATTTTTTCAAAATCACATAACCATATTATAACATCGACTGAGATAAAAAAATAAAATAAAATATTAAAATCAAGATGTATCTCACTGTATTGCGCGAGTACCCTTCTATATTATAAAACATTCGACAAAAACTCTTAAAACCCATTTTTTATGCATGAAGTATTGTTTATTGATGCACATTACTTAAAATTTAAGATTACGAGTAAATTGTGCGTAAATACAACTTACTAAAACTTCATGTTTAAATTTGTGTAACTAACTGCTGATAAACATAATCAAATAAAGAATAAAATCTCATTTTAAATATAAAAAATGTAAATATAATTAGGATAATCATTGAGTTCTAACAAAATACTTAATTATTGTCTTTATAAAAATTTATAATCTATACTATATTATAAAACATTTGATAAAAACTCTTAAAACCATTTTTTATGCATGAAGTACTGTGTATGCATATGACTTAAAATTTAAGATTACAACTAAATTATACATAAATACAACTTATTAAAGCTCCATTTTTGAATTTGTGGAACTAACTATAGATAAAACATATCAAATATATGATAAACATTTCATTTTAAATATAAAAAATCCATATATAATTAGAATAATTATTGAGTTCTAACAAAATAATTATATTATAAAAAGTTTAAGCCAAAAATAAATTACTTCACTATTTGACCTAAATTGAATTATAATAAAAAAAAATTCAATTAAAGAAATTGTAAAGAAAATAAATTTTTTTAAATATTTAATTTGATATTAATATCGATATATTTTTTTTAAAATTTTTATGATATATTTTTATTCAAAAGTAAAAATATCATTTTTCTCAAAACCACATAAACTGTATTATATCAACAAAAACAAAAAAAAACAAAACAAAACATTAAAATGAAGATGTATATTGCTGCATTGCACGGGTATCCTTCTAGTAAAATATTAAGAATTTAGGCATTTTTCTGAAATTTTGGAAATTAATTAATTATTATAAAAAAAAAACACATGAAATGATAAAAACTTATGGGTCACCCAAACTTCTGTTTTGAAAAGCCACATATATTAAGGAATCGAAGAATACCTCCAAACAACCATTCTCCAAGAGACAACTTAAAAGATAAAGAAGACAAATAAGAAAGCAAAACAATAACGAAAAGAAACATGCAAAGAAGCCAAATACATCCTTCATACTCCAGCTCCACTCTTAGTCAACGATGTTATTAATTAACGATTCAAGAATTTGATTCGATTCCCTAACTAGTACGTAATTTTTGACTTTTAACAACCTAATTTCATTAATTAGTTATGAACACTTTTGATGAAATAACTTAACCCACAAATGAATTTGAAATGACAACCATCATTTGACAAGGGTTTTGAGTTTTGAAATGACAACACTAAAACCCCACCAATCGATCCACATGTTTATTACTTGAAATTATTGAATAGATGACAAATAACCCTCGAATTTGACCTCAACCTACAATCGTTACGATGTATATGTTTTTAAGGTTCTTGATGTTAGATTATGATACGGTGTGATCGACATCTAGTATTTTCGAACATGATCGTTTTGTCTCAATTCTTCAATTAATTAAATGTTGGATTTTTGCAACTAACCTGATGCAGATAACCGAGATAATCTAATACGAACCAAATGACTATTAGATTGAATCCCGTTGGATATATTTATATATTGGTAATACGTGTTTAAACCAATGTATTACTAATATGAGGAACAGAGGGAAGCATAGAATACGAGGAGAGACGGGAGTTAAGACGCTTTATGAACACATTTTTATATTATCTGCATGGCTATGAAGGGAGTGTTGTTTTAGATGTATGTTTTACATCCTGTATATATGAGAACTTATAATACATTTTTCATATAAATGAGTGAACATGTTTTCGGGCTTGTATGTTGTTAAAAGAAAAGAAAAGAAAAGAAAAATGTTTGGGAAAAACTAATTTCATTGCTACGTATTATTGATGGAAAAAATCCCATCGAAAGAAATGTAACCAGTTTTAAAAATTAAAAAAAAAAAAGTTAGTGAAAGATTACGAAAAGAGACATGAGCAAGCGGCCAAATGCTACTTGAGCATATTTCAAGTAACAATCCATCATTTGATCTTGATGGATCAAATAAGTGATTCGGATTGGATTGTATGACACGTATACAGTTGCCTATGTCACAAAAGGGATTATAATTTTATCAAAAACAAATTACTATTAAAATAATTTAAGACAATGTAATGAAAAAGAAATATATTAGTAATAAAAGGTTTCTATTTTGTAATAATTACATCAAGTTGTGAATTTAAGAGAATAATAAACAATTTGATATATAACATATTCTTTTTTGTAAAGTATAAATAATATTATTTTTTTTGAAAGGCAAATGAATATTATTGGAATACAAGAAAAACACTAACCTAAATAAATAAAACTATTTAATTTTTATCATAAAACCAATAAAAAGAGGATAAATGGAGCTGATTTAGAAAAAGAAAAGGACAATAATTCTAACAATTATTTGAATCACATTATGGCTACAATTCAACCCAATGTCCTCGTCATGTCACATGTCCCATTTTTCTGAATTACTTATTTATCATATATTTTCATAAATTAAAATCAAAATCAAAATCAAAATCAAATAAATAAATCGGTCAAAATTACATCTCATACATATATATATATATATATATATATATATATATTATAAACGTACCTCAAAACGGAATCACAAACTCCACCTCTCTAAACATCCTTCCCAGCAACCATGGATGAAAATACCTCCCTGCTCCTCCCCTTACACGGCGGCACTCAAGATTCCGTGCACCGTTCCGTAAGCTTCAGAACCCAAATTACATCCATTTTCACACTAAAGAACATGTTTATTTTGTTGGGTCCTCTGCTATGTGCCGTTATTTGTGTGTGTGTTAAGTTGGAAGGACCATCTCCCACAATCAGCAGGAATATGTTGGGGGTTCTTGCATGGGTGTTCGCATGGTGGCTCACAGAGGCCGTCCCCATGCCCATAACCTCCATGTCCCCGTTGTTTCTTTTCCCGATCTTCGGGATCGCTGCAGCCGATGATGTCGCTTCATCTTACATGGATGATGTCATCTCCCTCGTTCTTGGAAGCTTTATTCTTGCTCTTGCCGTTGAGCATTACAACATTCATAAAAGATTAGCCCTCAATGTAAGTACTCCATCTTTTTCTTTTTCTTTTTCTTTTTCTTTTTCATTTTCTAACCAAATCAATTGTCTTTTTAATTATTCTTTGGAATATATATATATATATATATATATATATATATATTTGTTATTTGTTGCGTTTGGTGTTTTCTTTTCTTGTGGATAATTCAAAGTAAAAAAATAAACAAAAAAGAAAGTCCTGGACGTCTTGTACATGAAGGGAATGTGAGAATTTTGGATGAACACGCAGATAACATTGTTGTTTTGTGGAGATCCACTCCAACCAAAGCTCCTTCTTCTGGGAATCTGTGCCACGACAGCGTTTGTAAGTATGTGGATGCATAACGTGGCGGCGGCCGTCATGATGATGCCGGTGGCAACGGGAATCTTGCAGCGGCTGCCGACGGGGAGGGGAGAGTCGTCGGTGGTAAGTAAGTTTTGCAAAGCGGTGGTGCTTGGGGTGACATACTCGGCGGCAATCGGAGGAATGAGTACACTAACAGGGACGGGCGTGAATCTGATATTGGTGGGGATGTGGAAGAGCTATTTTCCGGCAGCCGATCCGATCAGTTTCAACACATGGTTTTTCTTTGGGTTCCCGATGGCGTTTTTGCTGTTCTTTGCTTTGTGGGGGATCCTTTGTTTTCTGTATTGCCCAAGAGGATGCGGTGATACTCTTTCAGCATATTTGGATAAGACCCATTTGAAAAGGGAGCTTGATTTATTAGGTACACTCCAACCCCAACCCCATCACTCAAATTTAATTAATGCATTTAAATGTCTTAACCAACACTCAAATTTACATTACATATTATTATACGACCACTAATATTATTCAATTGTCTTAAGGCTGTTTCATTATATATATATATATATATATATAGGTATTAAACGTCATTAATGATATTGAATTTATAATAAAACTATTTAGTTTTTATTATTATTATAATAATAATGGATCCATTTTCTCATAAGCCCAAAATTTCATTCTAGATTAAACATGGAAATGAAAATTCATTCCTTGTCATTTTCATTCTTATTTGCATGAACAAAACAGTCCTATAATAAATTGTTTTATAGGACTTAGGTTCATGGTATCAAACAATCGTGTGTTATATGTAAACTTGTTACAATAAGTTGATAGAATGGTTTTAGATTTTTTAACAATTTTTACAACACTTTCAAAATAAGATGTTCTATTAGTCTTTCTATATGATATTATGTGAATTTTTTTTATCATAACAAGTATCCTATAGAAGATGTGTTTCTAAAAAATATCGTATACAAAATTAACAAGACACTTTTATTTCAAAAATGTATTAAAAAACTTATTACAATGCCTATATACATCTTAGAGATCCACAAAAAAGTCCAAGCTCAAAGCCCAAACCTAGATCTAACCTGGCCCTTAATTAAAGCCCGATCAAACCAACTTTATTTTTCAAGATCCAAATGAAGCGTGAAAAACCCGAATTGGAAAAAGCCCAATCAAACCCTGTTTCGAGCCCAAAGTCTGGCTTGGGCCCAAAAAACATGGAGTATCTTTGTTTACTGAAAAACCGGTTTTGAAGGTCTGGCCCAGACCCAGTAGCCTTGTGCACCTTCCTAATATTCTATTTTAACCCCTTTGTACAAATGAATGATTGTTTGTTCCTATAAACTTAAGTCATATGAAGTTGTTTATCAAGACATTTAGACATATTTTACGTAATATAAAGCCAATTTTATCGTAATGCATACTTAGGTTGTGGGCATTGGTTTGATATGCTTTCAATTTGTATATATGTGGATAGGTCCGATGGCTTTTGCTGAAAAGATGGTGTTGGCCGTGTTTTCGGTATGATTTTTATTCAATTAATCAAGTGAATTTATACATCAATGGACGGTAAATTGAATGGAGTATGTACATTTAATTCGTTGCAGATGTTGATCGTTTTGTGGATGACAAGAAGCATAACCGATGATATACCTGGATGGGGAGCCCTTTTCAATGATCGTGTTGGTGATGGAACTGTTAGCGTGAGTATTTTTTACATACATTCATGTTGGTCAGAGTCTTTATGCAAATAACTGTTCTATTCTTTGAAATAGAGGTCAAGTCAATATACATTCCACTCTCATACCCCACCAGCCTTCGAGTAGGATATGCTATGTTTATTTGTTGAATTCATTGTGTAGGTGATGATGGCAACTTTACTCTTCATAATCCCTAACAAAAAACAAGGAGAAAAGCTAATGGATTGGAACAAATGCAAGAAGCTGCCATGGAACATTGTGTTGCTTCTTGGAGCTGGTTTTGCAATTGCAGATGGCGTAAGAACAAGTGGTCTTGCTGACGTGTTATCTAAAACCCTAGGGTTTTTGGGGAAGGCACCATATTTGGCCATTGCTCCAAGTGTTTGTATTATAAGTGGAATGATTACGGAGTTCACATCGAATAATGCCACCACGACTCTCTTGATTCCGTTGTTGATCCAGATCGCGGAAACGATTAAAGTCCACCCGCTACTTCTTATGATTCCAGGAGCCGTTGGAGCCCAATTCGCGTTCTTGTTGCCAACTGGAACCCCTTCGAATATCGTAGGGTTCACGACTGGACATATCGAGATCACAGATATGCTCAAGACGGGTGTACCGCTGAAAATTGTGGGGACAATTGTGTTATCAGTTCTGATGCCGACTCTTGGTAAGTCGCTAAATTCATTCTTTTATACCGAGTAGGAATAAAAATCTCTTGTCCCCAAATATTCTGTTACTTCCTTGTCCACCTCCAATCATGTAAAAATACATCATCGTTTTATTGAAGAAAAGGCATGACATATTTTCATGTGATTGATAGGATAAAAAGGGGATATGATCATATGACTTATAAATTAATATTAAATAATTTTTTTTACGGTTTTGCAGGAGTGCTTGTTTTTGTGAATACTATGGAATATTGAACACGGAACCAGAGTCGTATAACTTGAAACATACCTACAAGGGGATGGACGGTTGGTTTTGAGGACAACTTACATGTACTGACTAATCCTTTGGACGATCACGAATGATCTAGAGTCATCGTAAGTGGACCTCTGTTTTTTGATTTGTTTGTTGGTATATAATTTTGTTTTTGTGGTTGTTAGATTCATATACAAATAGTAGTAGTAGGAGATTTTTGTAATCTTGGTTTTTTGTTATTTAAATTAATTGTTTATTTCATAACTAAGCTCAAAGTGAAATAATTAAATTCCACGTTACTTTTGATGGTTTTATTTTATTTGCTAATTTTCAGATCATGGAGGATAAATAAATGTCGATAAACCCTAATCTGCTCACCTACTTTTCTTGATTTTTTGTTAATTGTTTCATCAATTAAAAAAAAACTATAATTTAATAATAAGGCTAAAGATTGTGTGAGAAGAAGAGTTAAGAAATCTCTCCTTGACCACCACACCTATCCGATCAAGAAATCTTGAACCCCTTGGCTCATTAAGAAATCTAATGAAACATAAGGAGTTGGAGTTTAGATAGATGATCAATATGAGCGTTTCCTCGAATAGAAAAAGACCTGATTATTATGATGAATCCAAATCAAGTAAAGAGCCAAAATAATCCGTCATGCTTTTGGGATGGCAAGAGAAGTCGCACAAATGAACAAGTCTTCAAGCGAAGTTGGCGATGAAAAATTCCGACCCCACTAACGGAAAATACTGCAATATAATTGGACGAATAACATGCATTTGATGAAGCAATGTCCATGGTTTCACTCTCGCTTTCACAACATGGACAAAACAAAGAGTTAAGGTCCAACCCCTTATCATGAAACATTGTCCTAACCGAAATCCTTCCCCAACTAAATGAGATTATACAAACCTTCTTTGGCGAATAGAACACCATTAAGTTGAAACCTGCAAATTTTTTGCCTCAATCAAATTCATAAGGAAAACGTAAAATCAATACAAAAATCCAAATATATCGATTCAAAGAGTGGGTCAGTGAACAAGGTTTGGGCTTGCACAAGACAAAAATAACATTGGATCTTTAATTTTATTTTGGGACGTTATGGAAAAACAACTAAAGAGGGAGGGGGTTGTTTGACGCAATTATTAAGTTTTCAAAGATTCTTTGCCTGATATTGAAGAAGAAGAAACATAATTATGTTTAAGGGAGGAGATAAATAAACATGATGGTTCGTTCATCTAACTTTAACTATTATGTTTTTCTTAAAATGTGATGAAATATAAAACCATTAAGTATGATGAAACTAAGTCAAAGGTTTGAAATGTTAGACAAACTCCTTTTTCTATATCCTTACATGTTTATAATTATGATCTCTTCAAACTAAAACCGTATAACTTAATGTAACATTTGCTTACTACTTACACCGTTCCCCAACTATCATGTCGCTGTTTAAACTTGGGTTAAAAATTAAATCAAGTTTCCGTTTCATAATTCAATTTTAATAATAAATATTACAAAGATTTGTTTCAATGAAAAATGGAAGGCTCGATTGACGAGGCACATGACCTGGTTTAAGAAAGTAGTTTTTTTTTTAAATGGCTTGACATGAAACCCGACTCCTACCATATGTTAGAAGTTGACTCAACGACTGAGACTAGTTGAGAGGTTCAAGCTCCTCTTCTACATGATTCAATCTTGAACCCGTCTATTTGCCAACTAAATTACACTCTCAAAGACATAACAGTTAAAATATTAGTCTATAAAACATGTCAGGTTCTATTTTGTCGATCAATAAAACTAACAAAAATGTCAAACACTCTAACTTATAATTATGTACAATTATATCAACAAAAAAAAAAAAAAAAGTATCGATGAATTGTATTTAGAATTTGCCTATTTTTTAGTGTATAGCTCAGTTGATAAATCAACGGAATGACTTTAATCATCAAATACAAGACAGATCGATCTTAGGTTCGATCCCAGACCCATCCGCTAGCCTCAATCATTGAGTGAACCAAAAAATATTTTCTCATCGGCTTTTATAAACCAATTGAGATTGCAGATAATAATTTTTTTTTATTAAGAGTTTAGTTGGTTTAACATTAGAATAAAATATTTATTGAAGAAGGTGGGATTGATTGTCAACTCCTTACTCCCAACCAATATTATTATTATTTATGTTAACCTCACCATACTATTTACTTGCAAAACAACACACCCTTGATTTATTTCTCAACCCCATCTATATTTACTTTTACATTTTTAGTAATTTATTAAATAAAATTCGTATACCTTTTACTGAAACAATTAACACTCTTGTAAAGATCAATAATGTATAATGACTTACACGTGTTTTCTCTATATAAAAAGTCATGATACTAAAAATAGATATCATATTTATTCACCGGCTTCAACTGTATATAGGTCTTCAATACAATAAAGAACGGTGGTCGTAGTGATTACATGATGACTAGAGTCTCCTTCATCACTATAAATTCAGAATGAAATCATTTGACTAACAATCAATCAAAATGGCTTTAAACTCTCAGCCCCTTCTCCTTGTGATACTAGCCTTCTTTGGTGCAATCCTCTTTTCTGGCGGGGTCGATAGTAGTAACGACCCAATTAACGGAGTTGGGGCTTTGGATATAGAAAAGTACTACTTGGACGAGTTGGGGAAGTTTGCGGTGGCAACTCACAACCTTAAGACACAACATCAATTGACATTCCAGAAGGTGATAAGTTGTGACCACCTTCCGGGGATGAATCAAAAGTTGACTATTGCAGCATCAGAAGGTGGTGTTACACATACCTACGAAGCAGTGGTTTATTACAAACCATGGATACAATTCAAGAAACTTATTTCCTTTAGTATTGCTTAAAGAAAAATTGTATATGAATTCCAAATAAAGTTAAAAAAATGAATGAACTGAATAAACTTTCAAAAGGTGTCTTTATTTTCTCTTCATATGCACAGAGACTCAAAACAAGCAACAAATTCATAATACTTTTGAACTTAAAGAATCCAACATTTTCTTTTTATTTCGATTCGGTTATATAAAATATAACGTGATCACCATATTTTGTTAATTGTTTACATATAATTTGAATAAAACATTTATTGATCGTATACTTATATTTTCATAATTATATTGATTAGAATTATTGCTACCTCATAATCATTATACAAACAACTAATGCGAAATATCAATAACATTTGAGCAGTTGAACATCATTTATGCCTACACGTTGTTCTCTTTTTTCATGCTTCCGTCTTAAACTGACTACTTATTTTTTATTTGATTATAAATGAACAAAATTGTAAACCACCTATATTTTTTAGTTACGAACATACAGAGGTTTTGTCTTATACAATGTTGATTAAAACAATTATTAAATTTATTGAAAATGATGAAAACATCCACAGACTTTAAAAGACATAATAAATATACATAATTTGAAGGTCTTAATTAATACATGTATTTACAAAAAGCACATAATAATAGAGTCAATTATCAATAAAAATATGGCTTTCTAGAAGAAAGCCGATTAAAGGCATGAATTAGGATGCGAAAGTAATGAGGTTTGAATTATGCAAAATGATTTAAAACCCGTTCAAAGAGATATTTTCAATAATAAAAAAAAGTGTCAGAGGCCACGAGGAATGACCAAGAGGAGTCACTTAATTAGAGTTTTTGTTTAATCATTATATACATAAATTATTGTCTCATAAATACGTTAAATATAATATATATATATATATGTATATATCATGTTTTTATTTTCTTTCTAGAAGATCACAACACTTTTATATATAAAATGGCTAAAATGCCGGGTCAATTTGTTGCAAGTGACGACACTTTTTGGTATACTCGATAAAAACAAAATAAAATAGAATATGGATTACTGTTTTATGCATGTGAAACATATAGAAACGTTATCAAACACCATAATAGAACTTGTACCATAAAGATTTGTTTGTAATAAAGAAATTATGTTTATCAAGGAGAAGTCATAAATCAAATCAATGTAAAAATGTTATTACATGTTTCGTAGGATGGAATCATTGGAAATGAAATCAGTTATTAGAATAGAAATAAAGAGAAAGAGAGGAAATGTTTTTATGAAAGTTAGAAATTATAAAAGGTGATAAATGTGTGTGAATTAAGTTTGATGTATTTTAAAAAACAATTACAAAAGATAATTAAAGAGAGAGAGAAAGAATTTCAACATACACAAATAGCTTTAAAAATGAGTTATACAATGCCTTCATTTTCGTTTTCATCCCTCAAAATCATCATAAAGTATGTTGGTGGTCTAAAAATTGTGTTTCGGAGCCCAAATCGGTCCTTCCCACTTATTACCGTTAGTTGGTATTTTGGTCATTTTAGATGGGGGACTAAAAATCCAATTCACTTTATAATCTTTATGTCTTGTTTTTCTTTGAGTGAATTACGTTTTTGGTCCCTTCAACTTTTGTTTTGTTCTGTTTTGTTTTGGTCTCTTATCTATATCAACTTCTTTTGGTTTTTGGTTTTGATCCATAAAATTAATTTTTAGTCCTTGAAATTACATTTTTTGTTGCTTATTTTCATGTATATCTATACTATATTATAAAGCATTTGATACACTTTTAAAAACTATTTTTATATATAAAGTACTGTATATTGATGTATTTTACTTAAAATTCAAGATTACAAGTAAATTATGCATAAGTGAACTTATTAAAGCTTCATGTTTAAATTCGTGTAACTAACTGCGAATAAACATAATCAAATAGATGATAAACATCTCATTTTAAAATATAAAAAATCAAAAATATAATTAAGATAATTATCAAATTCTAACAAAATAATTAATTATCATCTTTATAAGAAAATTATATTATTAAACCAAATATAAATTACTTTGTTATTGAACCTAAATTAAGTTATAATAAAAAAAAATTGAATTAAAAAATTACATAAAATATGAGGAATTTTAAATAGTTAATTTGATACTAATATCGATATATTTTTGTCAAAATTTTATGATATATTCTAATTTATATTTTATTCAAAATTAAAAACATCATCACTTTTTCAAAATCACATAAGACCATATTATAACATCGACTAAGATAAAGAATAAAATGAAATATTAAAAATAAGATGTATCTCGCTGCATTACGCGAGTACCCTTATAGTATTTTTAAATTTATATACATATAATTCTCAATGAATTAACTTTAATAAATTTATTATTTTAAATTTTCAGTACTAATTATATAATTAAACAATATTCTATAATTTTATTATCCCATCACAT